CCGAGAACAGGCCCAAAACCAGGCGTCAAAAATTTCAAAAATATTGACGCCCTCTTTTTGGCTTATTTCCTCCCGAGGGGCGGCGTGCCCTCCCTCGCAGGGCCGCGAACAGGCCGAGAACGTGCCCAAAACCAGGCGTCAATATTTTCGAAACTATTGACGCATTCATTTTGGCTTAGAGTTCCTCACGAGGGGTGAGGCGTCCTCTCTCACGGGGCCGCGAACAGGCCGAGAACATGCCCAAAACCAGGCGTCAATATTTTCAAAGGTATTGACGCCTTCTTTTTGGCTTAGATTCCCCCCCGATAGGGGTGAGGCGCCCTCTCTCACAGGGCCGCGCGCAGGCCGAGAACATGCCCAGAACCAGGCGTCAATATTTTCAAAAATATTGACGCCTTCTTTTTGGCTTGGATTTCCCCCCGATGGGGCGAGGCGCCCTCTCTCTTGCAGGGCCGCGAACAGGCCGAGAACAGGCCCCAAACCAGGCGTCAATATTTTCAAAAAAATTGACGCCCTCTTTTTGGCTTAGATTTCTTCCCGATGGGGCGAGGGGCCCTCTCTCACGGGGCCGCGAACAGGCCGAGAACAGGCCCAAAACCAGGCGTCAATATTTTCAAAGGTATTGACGCCCTCTTTTTGGCTTAGATTTCCCCCGATGGGGCGAGGGGCCCTACCTCGCAGGGCCGCGAGCAGGCCGAGAACAGGCCCAAAACCAGGCGTCAATATTTTCAAAAATATTGACGCCCTCTTTTTGGCTTAGATTTCCCCCGATGAGGTGAGGGGTCCTCTTTCACAGGTGCAGGAGGGAGAGGCAGGATGCATCGCCAAGCGTTGTCGTCGCTGCTAGCGCATCGAAGTTCGGGTGGGCGGTCCTCCAGATGTCTGCGTGGAAGACAGCTGGTCTAAAGCCTGGCGTCGGGCCGGCGACGACCAGGCGACGGCGGTCGACGTGCAGCGACTGCGCCGACGAGAATCAGTCAGACAGTCAGAGATACAGGCGGTACATTTCTGAACGACGATACACATTGCGTCAGAGATGATATCACATGATTTGATGTTATTCAGAGATAGTCTCTGATCGTGCATCATAGGCGTCAGAGATCATCTCTGAAGCGGTGGTCGTGCATCAGATATGTTCCGCTTGACGTATCATCAGATATGATCTCCGAACATGCATGGATGGAATTCAGAGATGATCTCCGAACGGGACATCTCCTGTCATTGCCAATACATGGCATGACATCGCGCGTTCAGAGATGATCTCTGATATCCACCATGCGTCTCAGAGATGAACTCTGAACCGTTAATGTGACACTGATCCATGACGTGCCCTGTTTTTGCGAGTTCAGAGATGAGCTCTGAATGTGTACACGACTTCAGAGATAGTATGTGATGTGTGCCATTGGATTCAGAGATGATCTCTGACACCGGCTTCGCGTTCAGAGACTGACTCTGAAAACGCACGTCGGTGTCAGAGATGATCTCTGAACCCCATGGAGTCCCCAGAGACGGTCTCTGAATCCAACACACATGTCAGAGATGAGCTCTGATGGCAGGTCATATCCAGAGATGATCACTGATGGTCATCGACGCTCAGAGATGGTCTCTGAGACAACGTCATGGCATCAAAGATGGTCTCTTATATGACCCTGCATTTCAGAGATGATCTCTGACAGTGGTCTATGTGCCAGTGCCAGAGACGAGCTACGATCGCCAGCCCACTGTGTCAGAGACGAGCTCTGAAACCTAGCGGCCTCTCAGAGATGATCTCTGAATCACGGCGTTGTCTCAGCGATGATCTCTGAACCCCATCAGCCCCTCAGAGATGATCTCTAAAGCGTAGCTGTGGGTTCAGATACGATCTCTGAAGCATAGCTGTGGGACACGATACCTTGCATTGATAGAACATCTCGAACGGCGTATATGTGGTGGCAGAGAAGCGGGCCTCAGATGCGACTTACTCTGCGAAAGGCTACCATTCTCCTTAGATGCCTCAGGAATCGGGGTAGTGGTGGGCATGACGCGCGCCCCCTTGGCGAGCGGCTGCATGATGCGCGTGTGCGCGCCACCCTGAGTAACCGCATTCGTCTCTTCATCGGCCCCTGCGGGGCCGACGTCGGCGCTCTCTAGATCGCCAGGCTGCCAAGGGGGTGACGTTGAGAGCGTGGCGTCGCAACTGCGCCCACCGTCCGTGCCGACACATTCGTGGGCCTCGCCGCCACTGGGTTGACAGACAGCATCGAAGGTGCTCGGCAGTGTGTCATCCTTGATATCGCTCAGCTCGCATAGCTCATCATCTCGCTTTTCACATTCACAACCTTCATCACAATCTGCTTTTGCATCGCTGCTCTCACTGACGGAAGTAGGCGTGTGACCATCGCGAGACTGACCGTGTTTGATATCAGTGTTTTGATCTGGCTTGAAGCAAGCCTTACATGTTGCCCATCTTTCAAAGCAATTACTAGCAAACTCTATGACTGGAAGCGATCGGCCGCAACCTAGATCGATATCTGGTTGACAATTTAAATGCCATTTGCACTTTGGTAGCAAGTTCAAGCGGGCACGAATATCATTCCCAGCGTCTGGATCACGGCTGTCAGACATAATGGCGTTCGTGATTGCTCAGTTCAAAGGGTGTTGTTTTTATTATCGGGCCCTGGTAAACAACTGTAGAATCGCAGAGCATGCAGTATATTGCTCTGTAACGAGTGCACAGAAATTATTATCACTCCGATTGCAATAGCAGGCCTTCAGATATCATGTCTTGATGCACTCACGTAATCAGAGATGCTCTGGGATAGTGACGTGCGTTCAGATATGATATATGAAGGCCTGCTTGATGCTATCAGAGATAATATCTGCAGCCGAGCATTCCTCCAGCCCGAGTGATTAGGACATTCGACTTGCTGTCGTGCTAGCACGCGCATACACATGCCAGCCCACACCGCGTGGAGTCCAGGTTTCCATATGGCACAACATGCACGCAACGCGCAACCCACAATTCACCAACCAGATCGGGTTGGCTAGGCTCTGGCGTTGCCGCGCCAGCCTAGGAACTGCGTGAACTTAACCTAGGCTGCCTAGGTTAAGTTCACGCAGTTCCTGTCATCGGCTCAGGTGAAATAGCGACTGCACCTCCTTCTGCTATCAGTCACGGGGGGGTTGCGTTGTGCGTCGGTGTTGTTGAGTGCGGGCGCGCTTGCAAGCATAGCGCACACGGTGCGATCTTGCTGTTCTCTGAGACCTTCCGACTCCGTTTACACCCCCCCCCCGTCCCCCATCCGTGCTCAACCCCAGCATTACCATCCCAGGCATCTCCTTGGTATGCCGTCGTGCCAGCCTCTTGTTCTCAAGCGAGCGCCGACGCCAGCGTCGCACTCGCCCGCTCCGACGGACCGACATATACCCGCGTGATGGCGAGCAAGGTCGGAGGGGATCTACAGTTCGCCTTCACCTCCCAATCTCCGCGCCCTCTCATCCCCCCCTCCAGAGAGCAGCGGGGGTTCGCCCATCGGGCGAGCTCTGGGTGGCGACTTCTGCGTCGTCCTCAGAGTCGATCGCGCGAGCCTCCTGGCTGGGCGGCAGGGCGTGGAGGGGATGAAGCGCTGCCAGGGGGGCGGGGGGGGGGGGGGGGGGGCTGGCAAGGAGAGAGGGCTTTGCAAATGCAAACACATTGCGGTTGGCGTTTTCGGTTTCGACGCGGTCACCTTGGTGCATTAAAATAGCGTAGGGGGTGTGGCTGTGGCTCCAAGGGGCATCTAGACCAACCCGCGTGGCCCAGGACAACTACTACCTAACCCTTGCCACGCCCCCCCCCCCCCCCCCCCCCCCCCCCTACCCCGCGAAAGAACGCAATGGGAATAACAAGTCCTTCCAAAGCCTCGGCATGCTAGCATTGTAATAACAACCGCAATGTGTTTTCAACCGAAACACAACACGTTCGGTTTCCGACGTGGCGTTCGCCAGCAGAGGAATCCCAGGGATGTCCGAAGGTCCGAAGGCCCAGATGCACCCAAATAAGATGACGGTGACGATAATGCTTATGTAAGGGTGGTGTGATGTTGATGGTGCTGATGTTTCATTCGCCGCAGCTGGTGCGCAGGGGCCGCTCCCAAGTAGAGGGCGGCGCCCGCGCGCCGATGGAGCCGCGGGGCCCGCTCCAGGGCGCGCGCCGCGTGCTCGATGAGATCGCGCGCGCGGCTGCGGCCGCCGCCGTGCCGCCGCGCCCCGCGCTCAAGAACCCGCCGCCTCGCGCGCCGCCGCCGCCGCTTGCGGCCGACAGTCCGCAAGACAAGACTTGCGCGAGCACCGACCTGCCGCTTTCGCGCAAGCGCGCGGGGGCACCTCCTCCGTCTAAGCGCCCTCGCCTCGATAACGACGCAGCGCTGGAGCCAAGCGCGGCGGTTGACGAGCCGCCCGCATCTGCAACCAGTCGCGCCGAGCCGCCTGGCCCCCCCGATGATGCGGGTGGGGCTGCTGCCCCGCGCTCGCGGGCAGAGAGTGAAGCCGCCTCGGCGTGGGCCGCAGTGATGATGGTGAGGGGGGGGGGGGGGGGGGGGGGGGGGGGGGGGCGGGGGGCGTTGGGGGCGCCGCCCAGAATGAGCCCAGGTTCCGTTGTGAACACATAATCACAACGGTGCGCTGGCAACCGCCACGCGTTTCAATTGCGGCCCAGGCGGGGTCCGCGTGCTAAGAGGGGGAGAGATGGCGTCGCATAAAACATGAAAGTTGCTATGATGGGCGCAAAGGATGACGACAGAAGGAGGGGCCCTACGGGGGAGGGTGAGGACAGGGGGAGGGTGAAGAGATGATGCGGGTGAGGGAGAAGTGAAGTGATGATGCGGATGCGGTGAGGAGGAGAAGGGGGAGGCGACAAGTGAGGAGGGATAATGGACGGATAGGAACGCTGAGGGAGGGTATTTGTTGGAGTACCACGCAAGGGCGCCAGCGGCAGCAGCGGCAGCAAGGAGCTGCAGACGCCGACCAGCGCGTTGCATGACATGGTCGAAGGCGAGCAGGCGCCCGATGGGATCAAGACCCGCGAGGCGTTCGAGGCGGCCGCGGCTGCTGCTACTGCCAAGCACGCCGACGCAGACCCCAGCTACTACCAGGAGCTCACCGACGGCAGGACCATCGAGGACCGCTTTGGGGAGCAGGGTTCCCGCCGCTGGCAGAAGGTGATGTCCCTGTGCGAGATCTCGAGAGGCGGGGCTGATCCCTCCTACCCTTTGCCCTGCTCTTCCACCCATCCACTGATTCACCCTGCCGTGCCCGCCCTTCTCGCAGGCACGGCGCTGCCCTTTTTCAAGAAGAAGGCCGGCCACGCCGAGGCGACGGTGATCAAGATCGAGAGCGGCAGGAAGATGGTCAACAAGGAGCAGCTGGATCGGTGCCTCGTTCGCAGCAAGCACAACCCACGCCAACAGGCCACTGTTGCCAAGGAGTACTGCAAGAGCGTCCTCGAGAATGGCTTGCAGATGAGTTGCAGGGGCGCCCCGATCGCCGTCATGGGGGCCGCGAAGGACAGCATCGAGTTCCAGATGTTGGCGGGGGCAACGCTCATGGAGGGATATTTCCTTGCAGTGGAGACGGATCCTGAGAACGAGTTTGTTGTAGCGGCTGCTGAATCAGGATACCAGAATTGCATTGTGCTGAGGGGCGACACCCCCACCGACGTGCTCATTTGGGTGATGAATGCGCACAATAAGTTCCACGGCGGCGCGATGACATCTTTCCTTGAGCTGATCGAAGGCGTGGACAACGTAATCACTGGTTGGAGGAACCATTGCCAAGCACAGAACATCACGGTGGGCGGCTGCCCGACGAAAGGGCCTCTCAGGTATGAGGCGTTGATGATGAAGTACGTTTCCGAAAAGCACAAGCAGTACGCCAACTATGACGAGTACAGGAACGCTAAGGGATTCAAAAACAAGATGGTGAGCATCGGCGTGTACGGAGAATGGAAGAGCTTCATGGAGCGCGCGTGCGAGTTCTTGCACAAGGGTTTGGAACCAGCTCGCATGATCAGGATGCTCTACGAGTGCTTGATGCTCATTGAGGGTTTCCGCGATGCCTCAGACGATTACGTGTTGAACATCGTTCTGGTCGAGCTGTTGAAGTTCGTCGTTCCGCTCGACCCCTCTTCCGAAGAGTTTGAGTTCTACTCCAAGGCCAGCCTTTTCAACGCGGAGAACAACATGAAGCCTCTTTCGACGGTTGCGTTGCTGAAGCTTCCGATTGGCGGGTCCGTCCTCTACGACAAGGCTAAGATCGCTGCCAAGGCTGGGACCAAGGCAAACAAGGATGCGAAAGCCAAGGCGAAGGCCAAGGGCAAGCCGAAGCAGCAGGCAAAGGCGCGCTCGGACAATGGAGAACCGAACCCGAAGTCGGCCAAGACAGGACCAGTACCCGAGGAGGAGCAGCTGGACTTGCTGTACATCGACGACAAGGGCAACGCGAAGGAGAAGCGTTTTCTGCACGATTTCTGCTGCGCCATTACTTCGATCCTCCAGTTCGTGGACGAGGGGAAGAGGAAGAAGAAGGACATCATAAACGTCGTGCGTATCGGGCTCGACTTCACGTTCGTCGGCGCCGTGGAGGTCGAGGGCAGGGAGCTGAAGCAGTGGTCGAAGGTGCGCTCCCACATGAAAATGCTGCTCATCAGGGCCCACAAGCAGGCTCTGCTTCTGAATTTGCGGGCCGAGAACGGGGCTGGGGCGGTCACCGACTCCGAGGGCGGAGTCACCGAGGCCATCGCTCGGACGATCGGCGACGACGATTTGTTGGCGCAGCAGCAGGGTCAGGGCCAGCAGGACGACGCCGCCCCCCACGTGGCGAAGGACCCCCGCTCCCCGCACGTTCAGCGCGCCTTGAACAGGTTGGCTCCGTTCGGCAAGGACACAGATTTCCTGCTCCAGGCCCAGGCCGATCAAACGTCGGCCCCGCGTCCAGTTAACGCGTGGTCGTTGCCAGTAGGCCAGAGGCCTTTGGGCAATGACCACGTAGTGGACGCGGGGTCGCGACGTTTGCGCTAGGTGTACAATTCCAAGGACAAGGTGGGCAAGCCGAACACGCCACTCAAACTCCGCGCCGAGCACCTGCACGTCTTGAACGTCGTTTCGCCTGGCATCGAGGCGGTCAAGGCCGAGAACCCCGACGACGCGTCGGCCTTGCCTCAGATCGTTCGTGCCTTGCAGCCCATCATATTTGCTTCGTTTCCAGTCAAGCTCATGGCGTTCTTGCGGGGAGTCAACGACGTGGTGATTGCCGTGGCCGCGTCCAAGAAGATCGGCGACAAGCACGCCGACATCTCGTGTGCATCCCATGGCGTGTTCGAGAAGATCGGCGAGTTCAACCAGCAGAAGGTCAACCGCTACGACATCACCCTCGGCATCTTGTGGGCGTTGCTCGTCGGCGATGGCAGGGCGTCGGTCGCTGACTACTCGGGGGACCTGATGCAGATGAGGGGCGCTGATCAGGATAAGCTCGTGAACGCCGAGTTGAAGATCATCGACCAGGAGGCGTGGGTGAAGTGGTGGCTGGACGCGGTTCTGAAGGGCAAGAGCTCGGTCCTCCCCGCCGAGACGGTTGCCGCGGCCCCCGAGGGCGGCGCCGACGAGAAGGCCGAGGACGAAGAGGAGGCCGTCGTGGAGACCGAGGCCGCAGGTGTGGAAGAGGCGCTGGTGCCGCTGCTGCCTCCGACCTCTGCGCCGAAGACGCTGCTCACTGAGATGGCGGGGTCCTCGGGCGGCAACGCGGTCGAGTACTTGTTCATGAGGACGGTCGAGGCTTGGCTGTTCACTTCAACGCAGTACAGGACGGGGCTCCAGATCATGAAGCCAGACAAGGGCCACGGTGACGCGCTGCTGGTGAAAGACGAGATGAGCGAGAAGGAGAAATACAAGATGCAGGCTGCAGTGCGCAAGGCCAACATCATGCTGACGTTCATCGGCAAGGTTACCAAGGTGCCGTCCAAGGGGGCGCTCTTCTTGTGCGAGGCGTTCGGCGTGAACTTCTACGTCGAGGTTGGTTCGCACGGCGTGATCGGAGGCACGGCGCCGCTGGTCCCTGCATGGATCGTCCCCGAGGTCGCGAAGCAGGCCATGCCGACCATGACGGTCATATGGCCGTACTCTTTGAACCGATGATGGGTCTCTCTCTCTCTCTCTCTCTCTCTCTCTCTCTCTCTCTCTCTCTCTCTCTCCCCCCTCCCTCTCTCTCTCTCTCTCTCTCTCTCTCTCTCTCTCTCTCTCTCTCTCTCTCTCTCTCTCTCTCTCTCTCTCTCTCTCTTCTAAAGCAGAGAGAGAGAGAGATAGAGAGATATAGAGATAGAGAGAGAGAGAGAGAGAGAGCGAGAGAGAGAGAGAGAGAGTAATAGAGAGAGAGAGAGAGAGAGAGAGAGAGAGAGAGAGAGAGGACAATGAGAAGGATGAGGAGAAGGAGGATGAAGGACGAGGAGTGGTAGGAGGAGGGCGAAGAGGAGGAGGAGGAAGAGCAGGAGGATGGGGATGGAGGAGGAGTGGGGGAGAGGGGGATGGGGGAGAAGGAGGAGGAGGAGGTGGAGGAGGAGAAGGGGGAGGATGATGAGGAGGAGAGGCTAAGGAGGGATGGGGGGGGGGGGCCTCGGCTGGGGCCCCCAGGTCCAGAAGGAGGTGGTCTCGTACCTGTGCCGCCACATGGACTCCCTGGGCCACACGGCGACGACGGAGTTCAAGGCCAGCCTTGGCATGGGGGGATGGCGGGTCAGGCGAGGAGGGGGCGCAGGAGGATAGGAGGAAGAGCAGAAGGAGTCAGGGGGAGGGGGAGGGCGCGGAGGAGGAGGAGGAGGAGGAGGAGGAAGGGGAGGTTAGAGCAGAGGAGGAGGAGGGGGGGAGGCAGGGAGAGAGATAGTGAGGGAGGACGGCGCCGAAGAGGTCGGCGTCATCGGCTCGTCGGTCGCTCGCGACTTCGCCGCCGCCGCCCGTCGTCGTCGCCGTCGCCCCGCGCGCAGGTGACCCTCCACAGGCTGGTGGTCAACGCCGACTTCACGGCGTCCGTCGAGGGCGAGGCTGGGGAGCTCGTGGACCTCACGCGCCCTGCGATTGTGGGCGCCGTCACGAAGGACGAGTCCAAGGGGTTCCAGGACCGCCAGGGGTAGGGCAGGATGGTTGCATCGCCCAGCGTAGGCGATCAGACCATAGAGACGAGGAGGAGGAGGAGGAGGAGGAGGAGGAGGGCGATGGCGGCATGAGAAGGGATAGGATAAGGGGGGGGGAGGGGGATGGCGAGGGAGGAGAGGGAGGAACAGGGGGTGGAGGAATGGAGGAGGAGGGGGTGCACTCCCCGCCTTTGCCCTGCCCGTCGGCGCGCCGACGTCCGACGTCGTCTTCAGTCGCCAATCGTCAGTCGAGGCCGACGTCGTCATCCGACGTGCGTCGCCGCTCGAGGCGAGGTTGCTCGTCGGCCGGCCCGTCGCCGTCGCGGCCGCCTCCAGGCCATCGGCCCATCGGCCCATTGGCGGTGCCGCCCCCGCGCCCCCCCGACAGGCTGCCGCGAAGGCCGCGCGGGTCTCGGGCTCGAGCAACAAGACTACGCTCAAGAGCTCTGACTACTTGACCCTGACCTCGGGGGACAAGGTTCAGGACGTCAAGTACGCCCACCTGCTGAGCTAGCTCTGGGTAAGAAACAGCAATGTGCCAAGATGAGGGCAACGTGAATGACGAGGAGGATGAGGAGGAGGAGGAGGAGGGCGTGGATGATGAGGGGCAGGACAGGAACGCCAACTATGATTTGAGGACAAGGAGGGTGAGCACGGGGGAAGAACGGTGGCTGAGAATGAGCATGAGGAGGGGTCGGCTGAGGAGGAGGAAGGAGGAGGGAAATTTACGAGGAGGAGGAGGGGCAGGAAGACCTCCTGGGGCCCTTTCTCACAGGGGCGAGCAGGCCGAGAACAGGCCCAAAACCAGGCGTCAATATTTTCAAAAATATAGACGCCCTCTTTTGAACATAGATCTCCTCCCGATGGGGCGAGGGGCCCTCTCTCACAGGGCCGCGAACGGGCCGAGAACAGGCCCAACACCAGGCGTCAATATTTTCAAATATTGACGCCCTCTTGTTGGCCTAGATTTTCCCCCGAGGGTTGGGGCGCCCTCTCTCGCAGGGCCGCGAACGGGCCGAGCACAGGCCCAAAACCAGGCGTCAATATTTTCAAAAATATTGACGCCCTCTTTTTGGCTTAGATTCCCCCCCCGATGGGGTGAGGGCCCCTCTCTCGCAGGGCCGCGAACAGTCCGAGAACAGGCCCGAAACCAAGCGTCAGTATTTTCGAAAAATATTGACGCTCTCTTCTTGGCTTAGATTCCCCGCCGAGGGGTGGGGCGCCTTTTCTCGCAGGGCCGCGAACAGGCCGAGCACGGGCCCAAAACCAGGCGTCAATATTTTCAAAAATATGGACGCTTTTTTTTTGGCTTAGATTTCCACCCGACGGGGTGAGGGGCCCTCTCTCACAGGGCCGCGAACAGGCCGAGAACAGGCCCGAAACCAGGCGTCAATATTTTCAAAAATATTGGCGCTCTCTTTCTGGCTTAGATTTCCCCCCCAGGGGCGAGGCGCCCTTCCTCGCAGGGCCGCGAACAGGCCGAGAACAGGCCCGAAACCAAGCGCCAACATTTTGAAAACAAATGTTGGCGCCCTCTTTTTGGCTGATACTTCCCCCCGACGGGGTGAGGGGCCCTCTCTCGCAAGGCCGCGAACAGGCCGAGCACAGGCCCAAAACCAGGCGTCAAAATGTTCAAAAATATTGACGCCCTCTTGTTGGCCTAGATTTCCTCCCGAAGGGTGGGGCGCCCTCTCTCGCAGGGCCGCGAACAGGCCGAGCACAGGCCCAAAACCAGGCGTCAATATTTTCAAAAATATTGACGCCCTCTTTTTGGCGCAGATCCCCCCCCGATGGGGCGACGCCCTCTCTGGCAGGGCCGCGAACAGGCCGAGAGCAGGCCCGAAACCAGGTGTCAATATTTTCAAACATATTGACGCCCAATGTTTGGTCTAGATCACCATTTTCCTGCTCCTCCTCCTCCTCCGCGCGCGCGCGTGCGTCCGCGCGCGCGCGCGCGCACACGCACACGCGCACACACGTGCCATATTGAGCTGTTTCTCACCCAGGGCAGGCAGTGGGCCTAGGGGCAGCCTGGCCCCGTTTGCGGGAGGCTGGTATTCGATTTAGTTTTTGAATTGAACGGGTGTGGCGGCGGTCTCAGGGATCCAGGGCTCCAGGGACCCCCGAGACTCTCCAGGGCGAACCGACCCGACGCGTCGCTTCGGATCGCCGCCATCCACCCGCTCTGGAGGCGCGCGCGCTCGTGCACGCAACTAGTTGATTTAGGCCCGCCCTCGCCGTGATACCAATGTGCGGCGCGGCAGGGCGGATGTTTGTGTTCGCGCGCCTGCGCCATAGCGTACCATCTCCGCCACCTCTTGTTCCTGCGCGGTTTCGTCGACCGCCTGCAACGCGTCGCAGGCCGCCCTTGCTTTGCATGGGAAGGAAGCGGGTGGGCGGAGGAGGGGGAGGAGGGGAGGAGGAGGAGGGAAGGGAGGGGGGGGTAGGGAGCACGCGATGAGAAGGACAGGGGGGAGACTGAGGGGATGAGGGGAATAATGCTGATGATGAGAAAGAGGATGGGGGGAGGGGAAGGAGGAGGAGGAGGAGGAGGAGGAGGAGGAGGAGGAGGAGGAGGAGGAGGAGGAGGAGGAGGAGGAGGACGAGGGGGATTGCGGAGGAGGTGGACAAGCCTTATGAGAAGGAACTTCTCGTCGCAGTTTAGACGTTGCCGCCGTCGCGTTGTCGCTCCTTTTGCTCGGTTACCCGTCTGATATAATGAGAGCTCGGGGTAGTGCTGATGTTAGTTTCGGTGCCGACGGTGCTTGCGATGTTTGCGGTGGGCGTTGCGGCGCTCGCAAAGCTGAGCGGCGAGGCCCTCATGGATGCGCAGTTGATCGTCGGAGATGCCACGGCGCGGGCTTCAGAGAGAGCCTGCCAGTTGCATCTCCGACGGGCAGGCGCCGTTTGAGGAGCTTCACTTTTCGGCCTTGCGAGTTCCATTCTCAGACTTCCGGGAACTTAGATGTATCGGATAACGGACCGACCGATTGCGCCGGATTGCCCGGCGATCGACTGTCGCTCACTGAGATCGAGGGGATCGGTCGATCGGTCGCTTCTCGTGCCACCGCTGGGCTCAATCGAGACGCAATGAACTTCCTCGGTCATGCTCTTGCTTCTGAAGCCCCCGCTGGGGCACTCTTGGGGATCTCGGTTCAGGCGGGGCGTCTGAGTCGCTCCAGCATGACATCCCTCGATGCAGCAATTGCAGTCGCTTCCTTTCCCTGGGCATTGTTACTTCCAACGGCACTCTGTGTGACATATGCTGGCACTACAGCACCTCTGTGGGTGCCACAGGGGCTGGCGGGGCTGATGCTGCCGACATTGCCTATCTGCAGGAGGTCAACGAGTGGGTCAGGACCAACCTGTCCCACAACGAGGCGGTCCGCCTCATCGCGGAGGGCACGAAGATCTACTTCGGAGGACAGCGTTCAGCTGACAGTGAGCAGCGTAATACATTGAGGATAATGGCGAAGAAGGCCGAGGACAGGTATTCTCGGTGGTGCGATGCGGGTTGCACACCTGCCCGCTACTGCCGCCTCGTGGGGGAGCCCGACGACAACCGCCCATTGTACCACCCCTGCCGTAATGTCTTTCAGCGCTTCCTCAATGAGTCTCGATTCCACCACCAAATGGCCGGAGCCCGTTCGGCGATCGGCACGGTGCCCTGGACCGAGGATGACATGTGTTGGGCTTGCAATATTCATTATCGCAGCTAGACACTTGGCCTCGCCGGTCGCAGGAATTGGTGGTTGAACGAGGGCAGAATGGACAGACGCACCAGGCAAGAACGCGGTCTGGTCACGATTGCCGTTTCCCGTGGGGACGGCACTTATGACTGGGCCACGCGTCGTAATCTTGCCAAGGCTGCCTCTGTCGGGCCTGCCCTTGGATCAAAACGCCGCGGGGGGGAGGTATCAGGGGTTGGAACCGATCCTGATACCGCCCCTCCACACACACACACCTTTTACTCACGATGCCATGGCGCCGCCGCCTCGCGCTGGCCCTTGCGCCGCTGCTGGTGCCCGCGCCGCCGGCGCGCTGGCAGCGATGCCCGCTGGGCCGCGCGGCGACGCCGCTGCCGCGCCCCACCCGAGCGGCTGGCAGACGGCTGGCGGCAGCGCTGGCGCCCGCGCTCCAGCGACGCCCCCGCGAACCAAGCGGGCGCGCAACGCCGACGAGCGCGCCGCCTACTGGCGCCGCAACCTCGAGGGCAGCGAGCGGGACCCCACGTACTGGAGCTACCACAACAACTGCTGGAGGTACATCGCGGAGAACAACGACGAGTTCGTGCACCTTCGTGCCGTCCAGACCAACCCTCGATTCTACAATCGGCACGCGCGGACCGCGTGGGATACGTGCAGAACCAGCTACATGGGTTCTGACGGCCACCGTGTTTGGGCTAGTGAGTTTTGCCCGCGCGGCAATGCATCATGATGTCGGCCGCAAGACCCGCTGCTCGAGTTTGCCTGAAGTTAGTCTTTACAGAGTCCGCCTCGAGCAGTAAAACACAACCTTTTCGCCACTTCACTACACATGACAAGTGGCTTCACATAAACCTCGGTGATGTCTGGGGCGCGCTCCTTAGGGGCACTGCCGAAGAGACTCACCCAATGCAGAATTTGATTGTGTAACTTCTCGTGTTCCTCAACACGACATCGAATTTATTTTGCTCGTGTGAATCCTCTGCGCGACAGCTTCCGCATTGCAGATGACGAGCTTTGAGTATCATAATGTACCCAGCTTTTGATTGAGGCTGGTGGCAACACCCGCTGCGTCCTTCCTGTGCTAACGAGGCTGGACGCAGCGGCTTATGATGTTGCTCTTGTTTTCTCTGTTCTTCTTACTCCGCCCATCCGTGTCCCATTCCTCTCCTCCCTCGAGTGCCGAAGCTTTTTTTGGGGGCGCACCGAGGGGCGCCTAAAGGGTGTTCGGAAAGGGTTATGGACACTTGGATGCTCCTTCGCTCCTTACCTTGCCCGTTCACACTGCGCAGTGGC